TTTCATATTCATATGTTTATATAATACAAAATTATCAATATTTTAACATGAGATTATTTTCAATAAATTTGGAATTCATTGAATTATCAATTTTTATATCTAAAACATGCCTAAACCAATAGCCTATTAACTCCCACTAACCTTAACACATATGATATCTCTAAAATAATAATTTTAGAACATTTATGAGTTCTTACTACTTTAAAATATATGCAGAAGAACTTCTACTGATTTTCACTTCCTTTAAAAGAATAGTTTTGGCATTAATAAAATAATAATAATAATAATAATAATAAAATCAAAACCTTTATATTATCATTCTTTGAAATAATTCTCATAATTAGTTCATATATAATTCGAAACAAGGGAATTGAAATGGGAAAGATTATAAAATTTTTGTTCTTTCTCAAAAGTAAATCAACAAAATTTGAGAAAAATTATCAAAAGAGGAATTGAACTAATAAAACAAAACAAATAGTTTTGCTTATTTTTACAAGATTTCATTCATCAAAACCCTTACATGTGTGATAAGTATAAAACAACATTCTCTTCCTCACGTGTAAATTCCTTAAAAGAATATATTAAAATTTCTTTAAAATAAATTGTCAACAAATAACAACAATGTACCATTGAAAATTGATAATTGCTAGGTTTGATAATGGTAACTAAAATAATCAAACTAATATCTTAATTAAGAGTTAAACAACTAAAACAAATATTTATTGAATTATATCTTAGTAACTCTCAATTTTACTTGAGTTAAATTGAGTTATTATAACAGGTCTAAAATTTTCTTGTGTAGAAACTAACCCTCTTGGCTATCATAAGACACTATACAATAAATGTATATCCTCAAATGTGATAAATTAAAGTGACCGACAATTTATACATTTACTATGTTGTACAAAATATCCAAGAACTTATCACTCATGGCAAACATTAACTTATGTGACATTTTTTCTAGCATATTGAAATTGAGTACAAAGGCCAATTAATGACCTAAGCAGATAAGACTTTAATCAAGTTAATACCTTTACTAGTCTTATTAAAACAATCAAGGTGCTACATCATAAATTTAATTTTGGACATTCTTTTAAAGAAAACATTATTTTTTTGTGTGATTACACCTTAAAATAATAAAAAATACAAAAACTTTTGAAAATATACCCTCTTTGGGTAAATAAATTCTCTAAGTCTATTTATATTTTCACTTGATAAAATATTTCACAATTATCTCTAAATTAAAAAACATATAATCACCCATTTGGGCAGGTAATCACATATAATAACTTAGAGATAATCTCATAACAACATAAGAAATGCTATAATCATTACAGTTATATGTGATCACTCCAAGTGAGAAACTAATCTAAATGTACCTCTATAGATCACTAAAAATTAAAATTTAGAAAGCCCATTATCATTTTATACACCTTTAAAAAAATTTCAAGTCATACTCCTTAAGTTGTGCTTTTAATCAATATAAATACTTAGCATGCCATACTACCATGTAAATTGTTTCAACAATTAATAATACTTTATTATGACATTTCAATCTTTTAAGCTTAACTATAAAAAATTTCAAAATTAAAAGTTGACTGGCTAAAAAGAACATCTATTCATGTAGATACTTTATATTTATATGAGATTCAATAAATTACATAATCTTCATACCATAAATCTCAACATAACAGTATATGATGAATGTCAACAATGCATATTTTATAGGCAATCATATACACATTATAATTATGGTATAAATCAACCGCATGTACATGTTAATATTCATGTGAGGAATATAATATTTTTAATATTACCAAACATGAGTTGTGACATAAATATTAAGGCAAGTTAATCTAACAAGCCTTAATAATATTACATTTCAATCAAAACTTTAACCTATTGAAATTCGTAAAACTAATTGTATCTACTCTTATAAACTGAAACTTTTACTCGTATTCATTTACTTTCACAACTCATTTTTTTTATTACCCATGATCTTTATGATAATATTTACAGAGTTTTACGATACCAAAAGACCCACTCCAAATACTTACTAACAAATAAATTTTTACTTGCCACTTTCTTAACATATTATAATATCATTATTACAAAAGAGTTAATATCTTGTCAAAACATACTTGATTTAGTAAGTATTTTATAAAAATAAAAAATTTTAAAAGCTAGTTTAACAATTTATGTGAAACAAATTTACTATACAATTATTTAACATATATTATTTCTCATAACATAATTGCACAATTTTAACAACAATACTCTTCCACCATTTCAACAAACTAGCATAAAATTTAAATGTCTTTTATAAATCATTATAGTCAATAATATGTTTCATATGTCCATGAAAAACATGAGTTTCAAAAATATAAATTATATTACGCATTTTATTATGCTTTAAACTTAATGCCTAAAATTTCAAATCATAATTATGTGATATATAAAACTAAAACATTGTAAGCATGCTAAACATATTTATCACACATATCACATACTCTCAAAATAACTAAACTTAATTTCATATGTTACATTTTACATAAACATGATCTTTCATAAAATCACTTTATCAAATACTGATAAATTGAAACAAAGTAGCATAACAAACTTACTGATCATACATGTGAATCATTTTCATATATTCATAAGATTAAATAATATTTAAAAGATTCACAAACTATCTTAATTAAAATACTTTTATTATCACAAAATGCAACATTTTAACAATTGGACAATAACTAACAAAAATGTCCAAAACTTAATAGTTATGTCTAAGAAAATACCCATAACTTAATTAAGCTCTAAATCATTTTTTATTATTTTTAATTAGAGCTACTTAATCTTTATCATTAAATCAACTTTAATATTCAAAACAAAAGAATGCAACTTTTTACATATGAACAACAATACATACAAATATCACTAACTCATGATGTGTTGTTTGTAATTAAACTGAAAAGTCTAAGTGCATCATCACAAACTCCCCTTTAGATAGAGAATATGACATGTGATTAGGCACTTTTCACATGAAGTCAATATAAAAATATTCTATACCAGCATACCTCAACCATGATACTTCTTGACCACTCCAAATTACCAAACACAACAACCCCTTTTAGGCAGGTGATTTTATACGGTAATTTGATAATACTTTTTTTCCTATGTATGAGAAAACATTGCAAGTTTCAATTAATGAGCCACTTTAGCAACCAAACACCCATATTAACTAATTGTGTATTTGCACACCAAAAAACTTAGATTGCTTATAATTTTAATTTACATACCTAACTAAGTGTAAGCAATTTGACCATTCCTCATGAGATACTTAACCATGATATATTTCTTTGGGTCATTAAATACTTAAAGAGCTAATCATTTTTATGTGAGATACTAATAATTATGTATATCTCGATGGACCATTATAAATATGATCTCTTCTTGTGAGATACTTAAATCAAATTTATCTCACTAGATCAAAATTAAATTATTGTATTCAAAATTTAAGTGTCTTGAAATTTATGAATAAATTAATATTAAATCCATAATTTATTCTTATGTATCATCCATCACAACATAAATTTCACAAATTAAGGTTGATACATAATGTCAACATAGTCATGGAAAAAATAAATCAAGGTAACAATTTTAAATTCAAATTATTTCAAATAAAAAATAATTCAATACTAGCAAATAATCAAATGAAATTATAAAATAAATTACCAACTTGATACTAGCTGTATCAAAACCTCATGGAGTTCAAACTTAACTTGCTTTTCAAAATAATGCATGTTGCATTTTAAATGAATAACCAAAAATTAGTAAAAACAAATTTTACTAAATTTATTTAATTATACACATAACTTTAGGCTATAAGTACGTAAATTTTAAACAGTATATAGGAAGAGTACGTGCCTCCAATAGAATCGTAGCATGTCCAAATATTTTATTATAAAATAAAATAACAGAATTCATGTGCATAAAATATAATACTTATTTAATCATGCATAAATATTATATAATAAATATTTTATGCCATATAAAAATTTCACAAAATAATAAATCAATGCGTCATAAAATTTCAGAACTTATAGAACAAATGGCACAAAAAATGGACGCCAAATTAGTCCAAATAGGTCAATTTATTGATTCTGCAATTAATACATAGATTTACAAAACCATACCACAATTTGCATCAAAAACAAATAAATCACCATGAATTTGAGAATAAAATTTCATGTTCATCGCCATTCTTGACCTATTTTTATTACATGATTTTTTTTCTTCGATTTTTCATATTTTCCTTGAGTTATAATGTAGTTAAATGCTTTAAACTTTAATTAACACATATATTTACAAAACCCATATTTCAAATAGCATCAAAACAACATGAATGAACATCAATTTGAGCCAAAATTTTTGGATTAAAAAAAATTATGCATAATCCAATTTGGTTTTATTCGTAGGCATATAATCCAAAATTTTATGAAATTAAACACTTTATTTTTATAGCACATGGATAACAATATTCAAGAACTACTTTGAACTAAAATCCATAAAATATCAAGATTTTAATTAAATCTTGAATTTGGTTTAAATCTTGAATCCAAATGTTTAAAATCCGAATTTTCTCTTTATAGGATGAATTAGAAAACATTCCATACATGGTTTTAATCCTTTCATATAGGAGAACAAAAACCTCAAATCAATTTTGGAAAAATAAGATCAAAAAGTTAGATTCCGGCAATCAAAATATTTTGCCCAAAAACTTAATTTCATGCGAAATTAAAATTTAAAACTATAATTTTAGGCTCTATTATCATATAATTATACTCTGATACCACATGTAATCATAATTCTAAATCCCAAAAACCATATGTAAATACTGGAACACTAAATTTAATCATATTGTGTGCCTATTTAGGCAATCATAGTTGTAATTCTTAAAAAGCCTAAGTCTTCCTCTTCGTTCTTCTCTTACTGGTAGCTCTCAGTGGGTAGATATCATTACTTAGAAATGAAAAAGGGACCTTAACCAAACCTTTCCATCAAATATTTATCGGATCAAAAACTTACACAATCATCAAATCACGCTGACCTAAGAAGATGTGTAAAACCCATATTTAGATGATCATATTAAATTATTTGGGTTCTTGTGTGTATCTCATATTATGATTAAATTTATCAATCTATTTTATTAAACATTAAAGTCACCAATTAATAGTAGTCCACTTACAAAAAATTCTACCACATATCACCCTTTCTCAATCTTAATTCAACTCTTTGGTTGGTTTGTTTGAGGCCTCTGAATTATGCATGAACTGGTTATTGTCTTTTGTTTTTCTTATGGTTTATGGGATTATATAAACAAGCAGGGAAAAGGAATAATGGGTATCCAAAGATAATGAGATGGCATGTAAAAGGTATAAACTTCCTGCAGACGGAAAATATTCAAACCAGTAAAAGTGGAAAAGATGCTTTTCCCCCATTGACTGTAATTTAATTAGTACGTTTACACCCCACAACCACCAGCCCGAAGGCTAAGTAAACAAACGCGTTTCCATCTTTAGTAGAGGCTAGAAATGAGATGATTAAAACTGACTTGTAAACCGGGGCATTGCCTTCAATTCCTATAGGACTGACTATTTCCATTCAGTTAAATGTTGATCAAAATGCACTTATGCTTTGCTGTATTATCGACTGGGAAAACACTTTTCTTAGTACAATGGAGGCCAAGAATAAGGTAGAATCGAGGTAAGAGAATTTGCCGTACTAGAAATCGAACTCCAGTCTCGTTAGAATCAACCTTCAAAGAATGACTACCTGCTGAGTGAACCATTTGAGCTAAACTTACAAAATGCTCTGGTGATAGAAATTAGTTTAGCTGTAATTGATCTCAAGTCGTTCACTAATTATCACAGGTTGAAAGGATTAAAAAAAAAAAAAAAAAAGAGAAATTTACGGTAATTTAGCTCCGATGAAATCTGAAATACCAAAGGTTATCTGATACAACAGAAAGTTCAGTGCTTAAACAGAAATTAAGTTGAGAAATTTATCAACACAAAAATATAAGCGATCAAGAGCCAGAACGAAACTTATTATCTATGGCCCATTGTAAGATTTTCGTAGAAGCAACTCCCAAAAACCAATCAGCTGGATTTGATTACTTCTGCTCTGCCAAACTGATAATTTGGGTATACCCGACCTTCTTACTTAACTTGGTAGTCAGCTTGACAACATCAAATCCATCACCAGTCACCACCACTTTGTCTTTCTGTTCTCCTCCTAATGCAACAGAGTTTACACCTGTTTTTCCATGGTTACTTAATCTCAATTCTCATCAAGTTTTACCATAAAAACACACAAATTAAAGAAAAATAACTCCAAGAAACAACTCACCCTCTTGTATTGCAGCCACTTTGAGGGCCGCAGTCCGGCATTTTTGGCACTTCATAGCCACCTTCAGCTCCACCTTTTGCTGCATATATATGGTTACCGTGCATCATGCAACACAAACAAAAATTTAATTAGCACTAAACACTAATAATATAATAAACCCAAACGATAGAATTTATAAATATTACTAGTAACAGTTTTTTATGCATGAAACAAATTATTACCTTCATTTTGTTTCTTGTTTGCCAACACCCAAGAAAATATTATCAAGGTACCGATCGACACACTTAAGAAGGAACAAGGATGAGAAAATATTACATATAAGAATTTCATTTATAGTGTGATTATGAAATGCTAAATGACATAGTGCTCAAGTTTCCTTTCATCTTTTGTGATGTCATGAAAAAAAGTCACGTGGCTTTTCGAGGATTCTTCCGATTTCCCAGTACCTTCTTTTACAAGTTTTGACTATAATTCAGATAAAACCGCGTCCAACTTCCATTCACCTAATCTAAGCCGTTAAAATAATTGTTGTTTATGGAGATAGATTCAATAACAGTGTGATATGTTGTTAAAATGTTAAATTTTTAACTCAAAATGCCCAAATTTTAGTTTATGACAATCTCAAAAACATTTAACCTTTTTACACAACCAGTTGCGGGTAATGCGGGTCATAAGGATTTCATTGGACATGATAATATGAACACAAAACGCCCATCATAGGACAGCTTTGAAATGTAAAGCGGAAGTTGAATCTAAGTCTTCGTCAACATTAAGTCTTCTTAGAAAATTCATATTTGCTGTTTTTGGTCTCAAGATTGTGTAATGAAGTGCCATAAAGCATGAAGTTTCTATACAATTTCATAGCTAAAGAATGAATAAGACATTTACACACCCAATTAAACTTTGAAATTGCACATTTTTTTAATATGATCAGAGATATCATTCAGATTTTGTTTGAATTTAATTTTTTTTCATTGATTTTAAGAATGCGTTTTTTTTTTTTTTTTTTTTACATTGACATGCATTTAAAATTGTATTATTTTGCACACATTTTCAATTGTGTGTGTAACTTTACTTTGAATTTCTTCTTTTATTTTGAATCTCCCTACTAATTAAATTTTTAAAAGTTTTCTAATATTTATTATATTTTTTTATAAAAAAAATTAACCGCTAGAGTCTTTCTATCATTTATGTTCAAAACAGGAATTCTAATGTTCGAAATTTGTTGCATATCCCTTATTTTAAAAAGTATATACTTTTTTTTTTCTAATTCAAGAAAAAAAGTATATACTTTTTTTAAATTACATTTCAATTTGATTTTGCTTTTTGTCACTGAGAATCTACATTTTATTTTTCCATAGAAAGAAAAAAAGAAAGTTTGGTTTTTAGACATTGTGTCTAGAGATACCATAACATCCAATTTTTTAAAAAATAGAAAATAAAAACGAGATATTATATTTTGGTTGCTTCTAATGGCCGAGCGGTAAGGCAAGGGACTGCAAATCCATTATTCCTCAGTTCAAATCCGGGTATTGCCTGATCAACAAAAAAAGTCGAAATCCTATATTCCATTTTCCTAATATAACTCGACAGCCATTCTTCATATGCTTTCTTCTTTGCAAACCAACTTGTATAATCTCATGAAAATGTTGAGTCTTGTGAACTTTCACTTTTAACTTTTTTATTTTTATTTTTTTACAGAATGATAAATGAATGTATTTTTTTATTTGAAAAACAAAACTCAATCTGACCCTTTTCCCTAATTAAAAAATTCCATAAATTTATAATTTAATGAACTTTTAAGTCTGGTAAGTTTTTTAAAAAATTCCATTAAGGTTTAAAATTTAGAGTTTTTAACAAAATTTGTCTGATCAATATCATATTTAATTCCAACAAAATCCAAAATTTCAATTGAAGAAAAAATCTCATATTTTGAAGAATTTTCACAACATTGTAAAGAAAAACTATGATTTATTTCAGACAATTATAATCTCATTTATAAGTTGATAGATAAAAGCTATAGTTTTAATAAAAAGAGCATTCGATTACAGCATGTGGATTTTTGGATTTTTTTTTTATTTCAAAGATCTGATTTTTAAAAATTTTCAGATATACGAAAATTTTCAGATTTACAAACCTAAATACTTGTAAAAGTTTTTTCAAAATTTTAAAAATGAAAAAGATTAATTTAAAAAAGAATAATTAAATAATTTTACTTAAAATATAAAAAAAAAAGTGTGAAAAAAAATTGAGAATACAAATAGAAGCACCCAAAAAAAAAAAAATCCTGCAACTTCTTTGCTTATTCATGCAAACTTACGCAAGGGACATAAAGCTTCAAATTTCAGTAGTTTCTCTTCTTTCCTTTCTTTTACTCTCTTCCCAGCCCAACGATAAGAACTCTCATCTTTTCCTACGTCATTATACCAATTACAATTAGGTCAAAAAAATTAAGTGTTTAAACTTCAATGGTGACGTAGTATATATTCAAACAACTCAAATCAAGAAATGATGTGGGTATTTGAATCACTAGAAACTCAATTTATTCGGCCCTAAATAATAATTAACACATAAAAATGACATAAATTCAAAGATGAGTTTGAAAAATTAAATTAACCTAACTTGGCTAGTTCACAGAAAATGAGAGTTGGGGAAATATGGTAGTAAAGAAAGGAGATGGTTTTGGGTTTGTAGAAAACAATTTGTATGTCAATTTTTTAATATAAAAGATTTATATAAAAAAAAATAGAGGTTGTACATTCCTGATCAATCTAATTGATATGGATTCGCATAATGCTCAATAACAATGCTTTTCACAGCTGTCTACATGAAGGATTACGAATGAGAAATATGGAAACCATGCTTTCCAGTAATATAGCTACTTTTTTTTTTTTTTCCGATTGCTGAAACTGTGATATGGTTTAACAACTACCCCATCGAATTATTTGGTCCTGCTCTTTATTAATGCTTTCAAGGATACCTCCAGCAACAAATATATCAAAGGGTTAGTGTTAGGTTAGCTGAAATCAAAGTTTATCAAAAGCTTGGTCTAAAATACTAAAAAATTAGTTTTTTTATGATTAAATTGACAGTAATCTGGCAAAAAAATATTATTCAGATAGGATTCAGTGGACAATGGGGATGGAATAACCATTGGGTGGTTAGGACACCCCATCTTTCGTTGAATGTAATAGGGAAATGACCGTACAATTTCAATAATATGTCGATTTTCTATTAATACTTGCAATTTTGGGCTTGGAAATTGACAAAGATCAATCTATGTTTGGAAGCAATGATGCTCGAAGGTTCCCATGCTATTAGTATAGCGATTAAAGACTTTTAAAGAGACATCAAAGATTTAATTTCAAACCAGATCTTCTCATTTCTTTTATTTGTACTAAAATTTTATCTTTTTTATGTAAAAAAAAAAAAGCAAGAAAAAATTAAGACTAAGATTCTAATTGGTGCCATGATTTAATGCATTCCGAACCAAAAAATTTAGTCAACAAAACTCCTAAGGTTAGGTCATTAACCTCAGAATATAATTTAATAAATTGCTTCCTTAAGTATTTGTATCCATAAAAAATATTTTTTTTTTCTTTTCAATTTTTAAAAGGCACCAAATATGGGTGGTAGTTATCTGTCCATGAAGCATCAAATCTGAACCCCCATGCCTAAAAGGTAAATGAATGAATGGTTTTTACATTATGATGAACAAAAAGGGCAAACAGCAAAAAATGCAACTCACCTTTATAGTATCCATATAAAAAGTTTTTTCTTTTCAATTTTTAAAAGGCGCCAAATATGGGTGGTAGTTATCTGTCCATGAAGCATCAAATCAGGACCCCTACGCCTAAAAGATAAATGAATGAATGGTTTTTGCCTTATGATGAAGGAACAAAAAGGCCAAACATCAAAAAAATGAATCTTCTGCATGCCAATCCCAGACAAGTAATCATTTGCAGCCCCTAATCCAATTGCTTTCCCCCAATGCAGGTGTTCGAGCCTCAAATTTAATCCATTTGATGTGCAAGAACAGAACAAGCCATGGTCAGGCCCAATTGATCCGACCTAAGTAGGAACCCATAAACTCAAAGTAAAACCAAAACCATGAGCAAGAGCAGCAATATCCCTAAATTAAATTCACAATTCACAAATGTTCATCACGCACCCTTCAGGCTTAACAACTGCAAAAGTAAACGTTGAGCCAATTCTTAACTCGCCCACTTCACAAAAATTCCTTGAAAAGTGAAACTTGAAGTAAGCAGGGAAATACCAAAGACAAAACAGCACCGAACTTTGGCTGTCTCAAAGCTTGGATCAAAATTATGCAATCCCCTTTAAAAAATTTGATGCAACAGCAATTCAAGAAGGCAGGGGAAGAGGAATTTAAGAACAATTTTTCTTTTCTTTTTTTTTCTAAAGTAAAGGTAAAGATCTATTGGCGCTTGAGTGAAGGAAGCAAACAGTCATACACCCGTTCCATGCGTGTTGTCACAATTAGCTTGTATGCAGTTTGAAGATCAGGCTTTCCCAAATCAATTATATCCTGTTTCAAACTGTTCATCACAGTTATATTACTGATTAGTTGCTATCTGATTTCAACTTCATTCTAACAAAAGAAAGCTGAAACGGACCAGAAGTATTTGACATTTAAAAACAGATGAATCAACCAACCATTGCCATTCACCAGTTGCTTTCGCATGTCTTCTAACGGCATGATATAAGCGATCCAGACAATAAATCAACATTCCAAACATGCATTGTGCATCATTTTCCTGCAAAACAGCAACAGAGATGTGAGTGAGAGGTAGCGATGTGCAGTATCAGTCAAAGCAAAAGGAATTTGGCTATAGAGTTACAAAAAAGCAGAGGAACAAGAACAAGCTAAAAACAAGTATTCTAATCAATCAAGAGAGAGATACTAAAAACAACATAAAAGAAGTAAACAAAGCTTTTGAACCAAATAAAGGTTCTTACAAATCAAAATTCTTTCTTGCCACCAAGAGTCAGCTTATCCACATGGAAATACAAACGCATAAATTTATCAACAATAAGAATATAAAATCATGATATTAATAGAGGGATGGATGGGAAATAGGATGGAGGGTGAAGATGCTTTCAGAAAACAAAAACAAAATAAACACATGGAGCCAATGGCAATAAGACAGCTGCTTCCAGTTTTCTCCCTACAGTGCCATGGTAAGAGTAGAACCGAAGAAGTCAACTCAATCTCTGAACATCTCTAGAGATGGCAAAACAAGAAAAATAAAGAATAGTAACCATCAGTGCAGGCCTTGTTATTACCTCAAGGCCATCAAAGCTAATTAGAACTTGCTCTCAATTGAGATGCTTACATCTTGAAATTGGCTTGCCCAAAATCAAATTTTTATCAAGGCCCAGATAGAAAAGGTAATCAGAACCATCCAAACACTAAATCAAATAGTAAGGTTCTTACCAGCCCTTGGTCAACATAAGTTTGATACTGCATAATTGTTTTCTCAACCTCCACAATAAGTAGCCTCCTTTGGATTCTAGCAATTCTTCCCCTGCCTGCTGCTCTAGTATCCTGATTCCAATAACAAAAACTACATAATTAAGAGCATAGGAAACATGTAAAAGGAAACTAAATTTTGATTCTTAGTAGGTATGTTTTGCTGCCTTGAGCAAATACACTAACTTTAGAAGGTATATGCACGTGTTGGAAAATAAAGGTTGTATGGATAGTGTGGCAATAAAAATGTATAACCATCTAAGCAGTGCCATCAACTAAACCTGGCATATGTGGTCCCTTCCTACACTGATAAAAGGAATTTATTTCAAGAAATTAATTAGATAAAATACTGTAGAGCTTTGAAGTATTCACACCTGTCTAAGCCATGCACGCACAACTACAACCAGCCCAAGAGATAGAAAGAATGCTGGCAAGGCAGCTAGGATTGCAAAGTTGATTTCATTTGCTCTGAGAATCTGATCCAGTTCAAGCATTGCCCTAATTATATCAGCATCTTTTATAAGTACGAAGAGTGAGATAAACCAAAATGCCAGTATAATTTAAGCATCTATGTAGGAATAAGCTGGTGTTGAACTTACATCTCAATATCCAGTTTCAACTTCTGAACCTGCAATGGCAAAAGCATAAAGTTTATGCAACCAGAATTACAAGCAGCAACTGCATAGAAAAAATAATGAGCATTACCTGGATGAGCAGAGCGCGAGCAAGCTCTCCATTGAGAAGATTCTGGATAGGATGCATAAGTTCCTTTTCATATCTACATTAGAAATCCCAATGAATTAGAGTTTCTCTCAAAGAAGAAATTTACCAAACAAGGAGATATACACCATACCATGGTAGTTCAGTTAAAGCAATATATCAGATTAGCAATCACAGAAACATATTTATTCTGGAATATTTTGCAAATATCAACAGGAAAATCAGCACTATCATTGATAATGAAACATTATTTCAGATATATTGGCATTTATAAAAACTTGCTATGCTAATCTTTTCAGTCTAAAGCAATTTTTGTACCTGAAGCATTCATACAGATACCAAACAAAAGGTCAAGTTCCAATTAACAAGGGTACACTAGTGTATGCCTAAATACACTACTAATTGCCTCAGATGCCCATATGCCAAAGTTTGTCTCGGCGACACAAACGTAAGAATATACAATATTGAAATATGAATGCATACACTAGCATGTGCAAAAACACACAATTATGCACATGGAAATGACTCCATTCTCCAAGTCTACTCACTTTGGCCTTGGATCTTTAAAAGTATTTAAGTTTAGATGTGTTTGAATCTAACATCTAGGGTTTGTTTAAAATACCCATGTTACACTTCTACTTGATCTTGGACATCTCTGTAGGTAAAAAGAACCAGTTTAAGTACAGGTAACTTGGTGCTGGAGTCATAGAACTGCCTAGATAAAACCAAACAAACAAAAGGTCAAGTTCCAATTAACAAGGGTACGCTAGTGTATGCCTATATATACTATTAATTGCCTCAGATGACCATATTCCAACCTCTGTCTCTGTGACACAAACACAAGAATATACAATATTGAAATATGAATGCATACACTAGCATGTGCAAAAACACACAATTGTGCACATAGAAATGACTCCATTCCCAAAGTCTACTCACTTTGGGCTTGGATCTTTAAAGTATTTAGGTTTAGATGTGTTTGAATCTAACATCTAGGGTTTGTTTAAAATGCCCATGTTACACTTCTACTTGATCTTGCACATCTCTGTAGGTTAAAAGAACCAGCTTAAGTACAGGTAACTCAGTGCTGGAGTCATAGAACTGCCTAGATAAAACCATGTCATTAAATTTTGTTACAGCCATGAAGCAGAAGAAATTAATATAAAATTAAGACAAGGATACCTATAAATATGGAAATGGTAAATTACTGAAATGGAAAACTCAAACATGGAAAACTTGAGCCAATATTTAAAGGTGAACAGTCAGTCCACTGCAATCTTGAAACTCTTATTTGCATATATTTTCTATCTTTTCACTATTATTTCTAGCATTGAACTTGGTACTCTTCCTCTAAACTTATTAATAAATATAGGGGTGATCGAAGATTTCGCCAGGTACACATGAATCATGAGTCAAAAAGTGTTAACATGATTACCATTACCATAATATTTGAAAGAAAGTTGCACCTTAACATAACTATCTCAAGCATTTCCTGGTCCGATGCACTCTCTAGGAATTCTTTACCGTTTGTCTGCTCGCTGAAGGCCAATAACATTCTGCAAACCATGAAATTACATACAGAAAAAACACTTGTCATGGCTGTCAAGAATATAACAATTACCTTAGAATGAATGAAAAAATTTTCATTACTTCCCATCACCAAAGAAAAGAAAGGACCAAATAGTGAAGCGGGAAGATAATCTATAATCAATTAAAACTAACATCCAGCAACTTACATCTCTAGAAGAATCCAAGTTTTTTAGCAAAGATTAGAATAGAGTGAAAAGAAAAAGTAAGAATATTTTTTTGTACATATGGAGGCCCGTTGCCCAAAATTCACAACCATGTATTTTCACAGAGGCATGCTTCATGCATAGAGGGAAAAAGGGAGAAAAAGAAAAGGACTGAAGAAATTACACTCTACAATTCCCTTACTTGATAATTTTAATTGAATGTTAATGATTACAGACTGGCAAGGAAAAGATTTAACCTGTGGAGAGAATTGGAAGTCAACTGCACTTCCTCCATATCCATCACACCTTTTTGCCTTTTCTTAAATGTATCCAAAAGTTCATCTCTAATTGACAAAAGCTGAAGATAAATTGAGTTTAACAACAAAGAAACCAATTGCATTCTCAAGTATTTATAAAAATTATCAACACAAAACTTGCATGAGACAAATGTAAAAACAACTGAGCAATCAGATTAGCACAATGAAATGTACCGGTTGCTCTACATGGTCATTAAAGAAGCTAACTGTTGACTCCTTTGCTTCACGAATCCAGTTGTCAATGTCAGAACTTCCCATCAAACGGCTATGTCGTAGGAGCCAAAAAGAACAAACTGAAAGACCAACTGCACCACATGTGTACTGGATCCAGTTACGAGTTAACTTCCTTGGTTTTTGGTGTTTAGCTACCTAAGAGCAAGATAAAAAAAAATAAGAAACACATACCAAAATTTAATTGATGATCAAATGCAAGAACCTTAAGTGAACAAGTCAGTTAGTTAATAAAATACTGTCTAGTTTTGTTGCAACAAAGATTAAAGATAAAAGTATTAGTTAATCATTACCATGAGAGCTAAGTAAGAGTCTAATTCTTGTAGATTCTTATAAACCAAGTTGACAACATCACTAATTTCACAATCTGTCCGTTGAGACTTTTCCTGATTGATTTCTGGCAATTTCTCAAATAATTTGGGAAATGAATAGGTTCCATCAACAGAAGAATCACTCTGCATAGATTTTGAAAATGAAAATTCGAACTTAGAAGTTTTTAACAAGCTAATCATAGCAACAGAGTGAAAATATTGCAAAGGCAAATACAATTACAAAAAGACATACATCAATATTGTTACCTGACTTAATGCATGAAGATGGCCAATTGATACCTCCAACTTAGAAAATAAACCATTAAGAATGATCATTAGTGAGGAAAATGATTTCTCTGAATCGTTTACAAACTCCTCTCCACATTTGTAAACCTCCACATAAAACTAGTAAAACAAACAAGCAATCAATCCTTGATTACTCATGTGTGACAAAAAAAAATAACAATAGTTAATGGGCAGTTATCAAGGCTACCTAACTACTACATAATGTTAAGTTTATTGAATAAAAAAGAAAAAAACAATAAAATTGCAAAGAGTGTTAGCAAATTATAAGCTTCTTTATCATGGTCAAAACATGACATGACAATACAGAACTAGAACAAGATGGAGCAAACCTCAGCCAAAAAAGTTGAAACTGAACACCTTAAGGCAGACAAGACAGCAATCCTTTCAGAGATGTAGGCAGATGCAGAATGGGAAAGATGCTGCATTGCTGAACCATCAGCAACACTTTCATGAATGAGTTGAACCGTTCCATTAACAAAAGCTCGTGGCCCTCGCTCAAAAATCATGAAGTAAACTTTCCTTGCATTAGAACCCTAAAAATTTCTACAATATTAGGATAAACACTGAAGCAAATAACCAATAATTACACTCTTAAGTACCTGTTGTTTTTGCTACTTGTATTCCCTTTCTCCAAGTAAATAACAATAAATGTGCTTGGACAGTGCATACAAAAGCAAAATAATATTTTGACAGAACTAAAAAATGAATAAATTTTTATATTTTCAGAACTAAAAACAATAATTTCATTTTTATATAGAGTAATTATATTATAATCGGTCTTACATTTGGGTCATTTTTTCATTTTTTAGCAATTCTGGTTTTGCTTTACAACAACTCTTTTAGTTTTGTTTGTTGCTATTGCTACTTGCATGAGCAAACAGAATATTCAAAATTGACTAAAAAAGTAAATTAATAGTAACTCAAATGCAACATTAATTCTAATACAATTATTTCAGAAAAAAAAAGAAGGAAAAACTAGTTGTATTTCTTTTTCCAAAAATAGGTACACTTTTCATTATTCAGAATTTCTATTTAGCAAAAGGAAAAAAGAAAAATAATGATCAAGCTAAGCCTTAGTAATTAGTAAACAACATTACCTCCGCTCTAGATTGCCAAAATTGCAAATTATTTTGAATTTTATGCAAATTTAAAATGGAGCGATCCATTATATCATTCAGAACTTCATAAACTCTCGATGCCTCTGGCGTCGTCCTGCATGTAAAAATCATTCAATAAATTTAAATATTATAATAAAACTATCACTTTTCTCTTCAATTAATTTAAAAAAAAAATACTAAATGAAGAAGGGGTCGAGGTGGTACGGAGTGAAGTTGAATGAGTTGGAAGGCAATGGGAGAGGGAGACCGGCCCTGCGTGTCGTAGAGATAGGAAGAGTCGTTTGGCGAGACAGATTTGAGATTTTCTGGAGAAAAATAGAAGGGGAAGAACGAATCAAAGTGGACAGTCTGTTCCATAGAAAGTTAGAATAAAATGAGATTAGGGTTTTAACATCCCTTGAAGATTCGTTTCCGCCAGGTGTAGCTTCCATACTTTTTTTCGACTTGTAATTGCAGAAGCTGATTTTCAACCGAGCCAACCGACTGGAACTTGAGACTTGTCTTCTCCAGGTCTGTTTCCAAGCTTTCGATCACGGCTCGGACAAAAAAATTTAAAACCAATTCAGTCTTGTCTTATGGTTTTTCTGCGCTTAAGTTGAGGCGGGGTCTAGAGAGCATGCCTAAACCTGCTTTTTTTTTAATATTTTAAAACAATAAAAAAATTTTATATTAATTTCAAAAATTTTTTAAATGTGTTTTGAATTAGATTTAAATAAAATAAAATAAATAAGAGTATTGCTAATTTTTCTCCTAATTTTGAGTTCCAAATAACACAATGACATAACTAACTTATAAATACAAATCTAATGGTAGAAACAAATATTTTGTATGTTTACAGATATATAATAATATTATAAATATTAAAAAATAAATATCACTCTGTTCTAAATTTTAATAAATAATAGTAATTCAAATTTAATGAGCTCGAAGAATAATATATCCATAAAATTTAAGTAACTTTAAAACATTCAATTTATAATCAATTGATTATAAATTAAAAAAAAACCTTAATTTAAATATAATATCATAATAAATTTTAAACTTAATATATGCAAAATAAAATTATTTAACACTTTCTTTTATATTAGATCTGATAATTTAAAATATGATACAAATATAATATAAAAAACACACGAAAGTAATACTGTTTAAAATTTTAGTAATAAATATATATAAGTTTAATAAAATAAATATATATTTCATATTTTTATGTCGATACAAATTGTGATATATAATTTTTTTATAAAATATGATAATAATACATGAATTTATGTAATCTACTTAAAATAAAAGTATAATAGTAATAAATAAAAAAATCTATTAAAATCTAAGACTTATTTGATGCAAAACAAACACTACTCAACATTTTTCCTCCTACATAGATTTAGTATCTAATACAAAAAGTTTAATAATCAATTGATGATTAGTATAAAAAAAAAAAATTTTCCTAGGATAGAGATTCAATTTGTAAGACTATAAAAATTCCAAAATTTAAAGTCTTTTGGGTGAAAGGATTTGGTGTGATGAAGAACCATACCTCTAGTAAGGGCTAAAATGGTATTGATCATTTTGGATCAATCCATCTTAACAAAACTCAATGATAAATTGCTCTACTTTTTATCTCACTCTATTTTGGAGTTGGCTTTTGAGTGATATGAGTATAAGAAAAGTTTGGACTTTCTACTTTGTATTTCTTATTGCACTAAATCCTTAATGTTTGCTTGTTGTTTCAATTTCATGGAATGGAATGTTTATTTTTCTCATGAGTATCTTATTCCTTAATAAAATATGTGAAAGACTATGTTTGGAAAAGCTGATTTTTCTAAAAGGGGAAGGCTACCAATTCAATTAAAAAATAGATATAATATAAATATTATAAAGATTACTTAAAATGGAAATCATTTATACAATCTATTGAAAATAATTCTCTAAAAGGGTTATTTCAATGACATCTGTTAACTTAATATTGGTTGTTTTTTAATTATTCTTTATTTGCTAAGTATTGGTTCTCACAATTAGGGTCGACAAATTAACCCAAAACCATCAGGTTTCGACTCGACCCGATCATTTAGGGTCGAGTTTATTTCTTGAAAAAATGAGTTTTGGATCAGGTCAGGGTTGGGTTTATATGAAACTCGACCCGACCCGAGATATTTACTAAAATACCTTAATATATATATGTAATTTTTTTAAGGATTTTTGAGTTTTAATTTCTTTCAGTGTTCTTGTTTTTAATCCATCTAGTCATCCCATTTTTCTCATCTCTTTTGATCTCTTCAAAATTTCTCATCCATCTATCCAATTTTAGCCATCCCATATGTTTTCATCGATTTAACTTTCATCTATTTAGCTTTCTTCCTTCAAATCTTTCCTCTGTTTCAGTAAAAAAAGCCATCAAGCCAGAAAAAGAAAAGTTAACAAGATAGAAAGACAGACGGGTCGGCCAACCATTTGTACCTAAGAGTGATCGTTTCTTCTTCTGAGAAACAAAATTACAACAGCTGAGCTTTCCTTTTAAGTAATCTCCATTAGTACTAGGCCACCAGCAGACAGCAGTTTTGAGGTAAGCCAAAGTCATCTCCTTTATAGATTTTATTTACAAGTATCAAAATTTTTTTTATCGATAAATCAATCTCTTCATTTTCATTTAAAACCTTAGGAATAATCTCTGATGAATTAGAGAATCTAGAATTACCCTCTAATGTTAAGGTTATGTCGAGCGTGTTGAGTTTTTACAGAGACTTGAATTAACTGTTGATGATATCAAATGAATACCCTTTAATGAATGGTAGTAGTGTGCGTAAAAACATGATACATATCTTGGGTTACTTAAAAAAAAATTACAGTTAAGAATTATCTGCAAGTGTTGCAGGCAAGTGTGGTTGTTGAGCTTGCTTCTATTATCAAGTGTCTTAGGGCGCTTGATGTGGACTGTCCATGACTGAACACGTGATATGAAACATATAACAAGGACTTATAAGAAGAATGCATAGACAGAAACTTACTAGTTCTTCTTATAAGATCTTCCTTTCTTAAGTGCTTAACCTCTTCTCCTCTGTTAGTTTTGAAATGGTAGCTTTAGCCTGAAAAGGAAATTACCTATGGTGTTACTGAAACTTTATAGTACGGCATGACAACAGATGTGAATTAATGATGGCAAAATATAATTCAACTTTTATTTTTGAACTGTCAGTATTAAGCATCATTCTTTGTCATATAAATAAACTTACATCGGCTAGCTTAGATTCAAGGTAATTTAGTTTTGATTTCATTTCTTCCACATCTTTAGCGAACTTTATCTCCTCTATAATCTTCAATGTTTTCACCTCGCCATCCTTCAATGCATTGAACTCATTTTCCTTCACTGACTTCAATCCTTAGTATCAAGAATATCCTCCACTAGCTTTGATTCTGCATTTGACTCCTTGCTATTGAAATTATTATTTTTAGCTTCAGCTCACTGTCTTTTGCTAATTTTAAGTCCTTAACATTAACATCATTCTTCAGCTCAATGTCTTTTATTAATTTTAAGTCCTCAATATTAACATCATTCTTCAGCTTCAGCTCTGCATCCTTCATTGGCTTTAAATCCTCCGTATAGAACATATCTTCCTTGGCTTCCATTCCATATCTTTTATAGGCTTTATCATCTTTGACTCCTCAACCCTGGCAACCTGATGCAGTGAAGAGAACATTGATAATTTATTAATTTTCTTAGAGGTATTAGGTACAAAATTCATCAATGGACTTGAAGTATATGTTTAAATCTCATATTCAAACAAAAAATCTCTTCAAGTTCACTTTTAGATTAAAAAGAATATATATTTTCCTTTAAAAGATAATGCAATCACACATACAAGTACATATATGTATAACTTGACTTTAAGGGTTAAAAAAATAGACAAAGTAGATATAACCATCTATAATGGTGCAATAATCCTAACTTTATTGAATATTGGCTCTTTTGCTATTGAAACATCATAATCTATTCCTTGATTCATTGAATACTGGCTCTTTTGCAATTGATTTAAGCTTGTTCTCTTTAATATATCTTCCACTGTCTTTGACAAACTGTCAAGCAAAACAATGAGCAAAAGTCACTTACTATTATTATCAATTAAGCACAAGAAAAGCAAAAAAATCACTTATTATGCCAGACATAATGTCTTCATTGGTTGCTTCTACTAGGACAACTGTGCTTTGAATTAAGAACTTATCTTTACCTATCATATCAGGAGGGGCTTCACGTTGAGCTTGCATGGTAACTAAATGAAAAAAAAAAAGGTGAGAATATATAGCATAGCACAAGGGAGTAAAAAAAATGATAGAGACCATAATATGAGAAACTTAGTACTATATTTTATTTCTAAGTTGCATCACTAGTTTTGATTCACTTGTCTAGCTAGGTAGCATAATGAGAGACTGTCTTAAGGATTAAGGCTGTCAGTTTTGTTAAGGATGTAATTTTTATTTCCTCAATAAATTTGTACTCTCAAAAAATTAATCATGAATTATCAGATGCAATAGAAACCAGCTATTTCAAAGGAACATGTCCTAAATATAAAGCACCTGAAAGGCTGGGAAATTTACCCTTATCAGCTTATCCCAATTTTTTCCTTATCCTAGATAGCAAAATCATTAAAATATGTATGGTCCTTTGATCAGGTGACCTCGTATCTACTAACACTATCTTAATTTTCTTACATTATTAGTTACGAGCCATTACAAGGCCATTTAAGCTTTGAAATTCATTCATTACATGCACATATATCAATATACAATCATAAACCAGTTATGCCCTTTGAAAATATCCTGCTTGTAGAAATCTGATGCTCCTACATTGGTGAAGACAAATGAAGATATTTTAACTTGTTTTATATGTTAATTAGCCTCCTTATTTGGCTAAAGTTGCATGCTAAGTGAACAACCTAAAGGTGCATGCTAAGTTGTACATGGTAGGATTATCTTTTACTTTCTTTTTATGGAATGAACTTTTCCAATTTTTTTGTTACTTAGATTCTAAGTTCGTTTTTTAATTGTTTCAGTAGAATTAACTCTAATTTTTCTTTTTTATGAATGAAGGTAAAATATCTAATTTGAGAGATAATTTGTGTTCCCTAACACCTCTTACTTCTACCTCACATCAATCATCAATTCAGCAAACTCTCATTCCAACATCTGATGAAAATACAACTCCATCACTAAGTGTGACTAACGATGGTGCTGAAGTTGATGATAGTGGGTATAACTCAAGTAAGCTAAAATCAGAAGTATAAAAATATTTTAAAAAAGAGAAGATCAATAATGAATGGAAGGCAATATCCAATTATTGTAAGAAAAAACTTGGTGGTGCTTCTAAGAATGAAACAAGTCATTTGTGTAATCATTTAGAGAGGTGCAGCAAGCGATTTCAAATGGATATTTGTCAACAAGTGCTGCTAACAAATTAAAGGAAAGCAGATGAAAAAGTAACATTAAAAAACTTTTCCTTTGATCAAAATGTCACAAGGAGAGAGCTTGTCAACATGATAATCATGCACAAATATCCCTTATTAATGGTTGATCATGTGCAATTTAGAAAGTATTCTTACAGTCTCCAACCTTTGTTTGCTATGCTTTC